GCTTGTAGCTAGTTCTGGGATATCTGCACAAGGGGCGTGACACCAATTTCCACAAAAATGACAATTTATCCATGTGGAAGCCCGTTTGTTTGACTGACCACAGACTACACAGGGCTTCATAATGATTTGAATGGTTGATTTACTGCAATTCTACTAGCAACCTCTTGAAAATTCTATTAATAACCTTAAATGAAGCTCTAGCTATTTGTATTTCTGTTTCTAACTCTTTTTGTATATTGGACAGCTTACCGTCACGTTCCTGATTTTTAATGTTTGTGTTTATAGGGCGCCTACAACCCCATCCGTTTACAGTCTGCTTTATTGTCCAACGAAACTGTTTGAAACCAGTCCCGGGTTCGGACCAGTCAAGGGTTCGGACCAGGCAAGGGTTCGGGCCAGACGATCTGCTCTGATCAGTGGGTCACTTATTTTAAAACATACTGGTCGGTGATTTGAGCTAACACATGAAGGATCTACTGGAAATTATCTACCCGAGTAATATGTGATTTGACTGATACAAAAGTATAACTTGCGTGTTGAAGAGCCGGTGATATCTGGCAGCTCCTACAATGACGAACGGTCACCTCCTTGTTTATCAATCGCTGTATCTGGCTTTTCTCTTTTTTTTTTTTTTTTTTTTTCTTTTTTTCCGTCTCCACCACAATAAATGCTATATTATCACTATAGTTGACTGGTGCAAATTTTGGAGGAAGGACGCTTTTTCTGTAGTAATAATTGCTTCTCGTTGTGTATATTTCGACTGCTGGTAACTACAGGTTATATGAAATTCACAGTAACGTCTCGTATTTCAAGAAAAAGAAACTAATGAAAGTCACTCCACTCCACTAAGTACCATTATAATACTGGTTAGTTGCTACTACAACACTGTATTCTGCTAATCACTGGTATCACTAGATTATATGCGAGTACACTGGCAAGCCAGGAAGATTATTAAAAAACAGCTGACCTGTGGTAAGTTCTGGCGACTTCTGGCACCTGCCTCTATAGGCTTATCACTTCATTTACAAATTCACCTGTTTTCAAATGACACTTTAGCCTTTATCATCAATATACTAGGGAGCCACTGTAGTATACACTATACACTATGTATACTCAATGTTATCAGGGAGACTTTCTTTCCTCTGACATGAAAAGTTCAATTATTATTTTTTTTTTTTTTTTCCACACGGGACAGGCCTATGATTCCCCTCTGGCAGTAAACTCTGCTAGTGCACACTAATTCTCCTTTTTTGACTCAGTATATAATGTTTTCCGCCCAAGATTTGTTCCAGGCGCTAGAGGGATGTATCGTATAGGATTGATGACACAAATTAAAGTTCTAGCACGTAAGAGCGACCGTGAAAACACGAAAAACCCGGAGCACAACGAGGCACGCTGACACGCTGGCAGTACCGCAGCATCGAGCATAGAATTTACAAAATTAAATGCATTATTATATTATTATTGTCATTATTATTCTTTTTTATCTTTTATTATTATTATTATTATTATTAGTAGTAGTAGTAGTAGTAGTAGTAGTAACAGTAGTAGTAGTAACAGTAGTAGTAGTAACAGTAGTAGTAACAGTAGTAGTAACAGTAGTAGTAGTAGTAGTAACAGTAGTAGTAGTAACAGTAGTAGTAGTAACAGTAGTAGTAGTAGTAACAGTAGTAGTAGTAACAGTAGTAGTAGTAACAGTAGTAGTAGTAGTAACAGTAGTAGTAGTAACAGTAGTAGTAGTAGTAACAGTAGTAGTAGTAACAGTAGTAGTAGTAGTAACAGTAGTAGTAGTAACAGTAGTAGTAGTAGTAACAGTAGTAGTAGTAGTAGTAACAGTAGTAGTAGTAACAGTAGTAGTAGTAGTAACAGTAGTAGTAGTAGTAGTAACAGTAGTAGTAGTAGTAACAGTAGTAGTAGTAGTAACAGTAGTAGTAGTAGTAGTAACAGTAGTAGTAGTAGTAATAACAGTAGTAGTAGTAATAACAGTAGTAGTAGTAGTAACAGTAGTAGTAGTAATAACAGTAGTAGTAGTAACAGTAGTAGTAGTAACAGTAGTAGTAACAGTAGTAGTAGTAGTAACAGTAGTAGTAGTAATAACAGTAGTAGTAACAGTAGTAGTAACAGTAGTAGTAGTAACAGTAGTAGTAGTAGTAACAGTAGTAGTAGTAGTAACAGTAGTAGTAGTAATAACAGTAGTAGTAGTAACAGTAGTAGTAGTAGTAACAGTAGTAGTAGTAATAACAGTAGTAGTAATAACAGTAGTAGTAGTAACAGTAGTAGTAGTAATAACAGTAGTAGTAACAGTAGTAGTAGTAACAGTAGTAGTAGTAGTAGTAATAACAGTAGTAGTAATAACAGTAGTAGTAGTAGTAACAGTAGTAGTAGTAATAACAGTAGTAGTAGTAACAGTAGTAGTAATAACAGTAGTAGTAATAACAGTAGTAGTAGTAGTAACAGTAGTAGTAGTAACAGTAGTAGTAGTAATAACAGTAGTAGTAATAACAGTAGTAGTAGTAACAGTAGTAGTAGTAACAGTAGTAGTAGTAACAGTAGTAGTAGTAGTAACAGTAGTAGTAACAGTAGTAGTAGTAACAGTAGTAGTAGTAGTAACAGTAGTAGTAGTAACAGTAGTAGTAGTAGTAGTAACAGTAGTAGTAGTAATAACAGTAGTAGTAGTAACAGTAGTAGTAGTAGTAGTAACAGTAGTAGTAGTAACAGTAGTAGTAGTAATAACAGTAGTAGTAGTAACAGTAGTAGTAACAGTAGTAGTAGTAGTGTTGCAAGGTTCATGGAGAAGCGCTAAACTCTTAAAGAGTCAAACAGTATTTTGTAAAAAAAAAAAAAATCTTGAATATAGAAACACTTCAGTGATAGACGCAGTAGTTTGAATTATATAATGAACCACGCAGCGTGAATTATATAATGAACCACGCAGCGTGAATTATATAATGAACCACGCAGCGTGAATTATATAATGAACCACGCAGCGTGAATTATATAATGAACCACGCAGCGTGAATTATATAATGAACCACGCAGCGTGAATTATATAATGAACACGCAGCGTGAATTATATAATGAACCACGCAGCGTGAATTATATAATGAACCGCGCAGCGTGAATTATATAATGAACCACGCAGCGTGAATTATATAATGAACCACGCAGCGTGAATTATATAACGAACCACGCAGCGTGAATTATATAACGAACCACGCAGCGTGAATTATTTAATGAACCACGCAGCGTGAATTATATAATGAACCACGCAGCGTGAATTATATAATGAACCACGCAGCGTGAATTATATAATGAACCACGCAGCGTGAATTATATAATGAACCACGCAGCGTGAATTATTTAATGAACCACGCAGCGTGAATTATATAATGAACCACGCAGCGTGAATTATATAATGAACCACGCAGCGTGAATTATATAATGAACCACGCAGCGTGAATTATATAATGAACCACGCAGCGTGAATTATATAATGAACCACGCAGCGTGAATTATTTAATGAACCACGCAGCGTGAATTATATAATGAACCACGCAGCGTGAATTATATAATGAACCACGCAGCGTGAATTATGTAATGAACCACGCAGCGTGAATTATGTAATGAACCACGCAGCGTGAATTATATAATGAACCACGCAGCGTGAATTATATAATGAACCACGCAGCGTGAATTATATAATGAACCACGCAGCGTGAATTATATATTGAACCACGCAGCGTGAATTATATAATGAACCACGCATCGTGAATTATATAATGAGCCACGCAGCGTGAATTATATAATGAACCACGCAGCGTGAATTATATAATGAACCACGCAGCGTGAATTATATAATGAACCACGCAGCGTGAATTATATAATGAACCACGCAGCGTGAATTATATAATGAACCACGCAGCGTGAATTATATAATGAACCACGCAGCGTGAATTACATATTTAGTGTCGTATGACCCATATGGATCTAGTTTTTTTGTGTTTAAGAACTGTTTTTTTTGGTTGATGGCAAGTTTTTTAGCTCACATTATTTAAACTTATTTTTGCTGTTATTGCGCCCAGTCACTCGTGAACGTCTCCCATATCAAATTAAACTTTTTTTTTTTTTTTGTATTTCCCGAGGAACCTCCCTGAAATATCCCTTTAAAAACCAACATAAATATTCAGGCAATATTCTATAGCACAAGTTTTGTAGTTAGAATGATAAATTCTCACTATAGACAACACACTCCACCAATATTCAATACACTCAACCTACTCACCATACAAAACATCCATACTTATTATTGCACTTATTACATACATAGAACACTTAACTCTGATATTAAACCCTCCCCTCAAACATCTCCTTGCCAACCTCAACAGAACACATGACCATAACACAAGGCACAGATCACTCTTTGATGTTCCTCGTGTCCATCTCACACTATGCAAAAACTCAATGCACATAAAAGGCCCTAAAATCTGGAATTCATTACCTGTAAATATAAAAGAAACACTACCTGTTTATAAATTCAAGTCTCTTCTCAAAGATCACTTACTCACTCAAAACCAAATAAATACTGAATAACTGAACCTGATAAATTGTATATCCAAAATGTTACTCACAATTATATCACATAAATGTTAAACCTAGGACCCAATCTAACTTTATTATTTTTTTAAATACACTACCTAACAGAATACTCCATTCTACTGAATGTACAACAATGCAAGCAACCATATGACCTGTCTTTGTAATACTCATTTGTGCTTTATAGTTATCTGTTTACAATAATGTCTTATCACTGATTTCATCATTGTTTAGTTAATCTTAAGTTAATTTTAAGCCAGCCCGTAATGCTATGCATATAAGTGGCTTTGGCATGCTGCTCTTACCTGTAGTTTTTGTACCTCTGTATGTATGCTTAAATTACTAAAAAAAAAAAATAAAAAGTGTTAATCTAGTGGTGGAACTTTCAATGTAAATTATTGTTGCAGGCACACGGTGTGTTAAGAAGCCTGGTGGTGGTGGTGGCCTTCCTGGTCGTCTTCTCAACACAACAGAAAGTAGATACCCGTTATCTGCCCCCTAACAGAGGATTCGGTGGAAACAGATTTCCTGGCATTGGTGGGAATCTTGGTATAATAGGAAGTCCTGGTGTGGGTGGTGTACTCAGACCTGGTGGTGGTGGTGGTGTACTCAGACCTGGTGGTGGTGGTGGTGGTCGTATGATTGGGGACGACCAAGGTTGTCGCTACTACTGCAGGAGGCCTGGCAACGACCTGTATTGCTGCGAGGATGAATCTGACCCCTTCACACGACCTGCGTGTAAGTTACCCTTGGTACCTTCTTTAATAATAGTTACCATGTACCTGTCGCTATATTTTTGTGCCTTAGTAATAATATTTGTTACCGTAATTTATAGTTTTACCACTACTGTAAGCTACATGGAATGAGAGAACCTGTGAGCTGTATAAAGTGGTTGACCTACTAGTTGAAGTTGTTATGTCACAGCACAAAGGAAGGTGTTTCTCAGCGATATCACAGTACACTCGAGATGTGTATATCTCAGCGTATACACTGTTTCTCAGCGATATCACAGTACACTCGAGATGTGTATATCTCAGCGTATACACTCGTCTTACTTTCATTTTCATTTTAAGGATTGACTTATTTTTGATGTTAGTGCAGTGACTAAAGTGCATTTGTTAGGCTGCAAATTTAACAGACTAACCTATCACTGAATATATAATTAAATGTTACTGTAATCCTTAACTTTTTTCTGTTGTTATTACATTAAACTTGACAGTTAAAAACAAAGAATAATTCTGTGTTAATGACCCTAGAAGTTGACAGTCCTTTAAAATTATTTAGACTAGCCTACTAAAAAATAGATAAGGTAATGGACTATAAGAATTATATGAGAAATTATTTGCAAGTAAGTACTTGCAAGAAATTACGTGCGAGCAATATGGACGAAGTAAGTGTGACTTAGTCACAGTAGGTCGCAGAACTGTCACTCCCTCGATGTCTACTTCATCACCACACTCACAAAAAGCTAGACTTCATAAATTAATAATTACAATATTAAACATTAATACCAGCAATGGTAAATTATAAAATAATGTGGACTGTATGATTTTAGGACCTGACTGTTAGAAATGGTTAATGAGAATATTTTTACAGAGACTAGGGAAGATTTTCTCCTAACCATATCATTAGAAGTTAGAATAATAAATTTTATACACATTAACTTACCATTTGTCACAGGAAGACAACGGTACTGGAACACACCCTAACGATACCCTAACAGCTAGAATTTACGATAGCCTACGTAAAACTATTGTACATTATGGGTAAGCATCACTTAGATAAGGGGTGTTTCTTGGAAGAACTAGTCCTCTGTTTTTCCGTCTTTGTTGCTAAATTGTAAAGGGTTTTCCACACTATTTATCCCAATTCTTCAGCTGGAACGTGTCAGCAATTTCTAGATGACGGATTTAGGCCGATATACACCAACTGAACCTCGATGACGCCTGATTACGTGACTATTGTAACAACCAGTGTACACACATTCAGTTTCATTATGGCGTCCTCGCCTCTCTCCCTTTCCGCTGTTCCACATCCCCCTTCACTCGAAATTTTTCGAAGGGTCAGATCAGCATCACATTTTAATATACAATAATATTATTCAAATTTACACATACTGAATTTAGGAAAATTCAAAATTTTCCACAATATCTAAACCCGTGGGAATATAACATAATGTGATGTGGAGATATGAATTTTGTTTGGTTTGGTTCGATAGTAAGCAAATAAGCACGCATACACAGTAATAAAACACAAATGCACCGGTCTAAAGAAGCTGCTCAGCTGTAGATGAGCTCCAGCAAATACATACTGTATGTAAATAGCTTATATGTTTTCACAATATATGTTAATCCATGATGTCTGTTCACAGTAAAGTTAGGTATATGTCCGGCGGTGGGTCGGCAGTGCTCTCGCGACCCCGTCGTCATCGGCTGTAGCAATGATTCTCGCTGTCCTGGTCAAGACAAGTGTTGCTACGACGTCTGCTACCAACGACACATCTGTACTCGTCCCTCATTATCTTAACTTCTGCTCAAGACAAGTGTTCCTACGACGTCTGCTACCAACGACACATCTGTACTCGTCCCTCATTAGTTTAACTTCTACTCAAGACAGGTGTTGCTACGACGCCTGCTACGATGAGACATTTATGCCCACACTTCATTATTCTAATTTCTGGTCAAGACCAGTGTTACTGCTACGTGTTGTACCATCACACGTGTCCCTCCTTCAGTGTTCTAACTCCTCGACCACATACTGCCAAAACTGACCTTCTCTTGATGATTAACACACACGTGCAACAGTTGGGTATCCTTATTATTGAAACGTTTCGCCTACACAGTAGGCCTCTTCAGTCATATGCAGAGGCAGCAAGTGTAGTAGTGATATAAAGAAACGTTTCAACAATTAAGATATCCAGTTTTTGCACATATGTCTTATTTATCAACTTACCCGTATTTTATACCATCTTCAACGTGACCATCTTTTACTGGTCTTACAAATATTCTCCAGTCTTTTACTGATCATAAACATATTTTCAGATAAATCATTGGTGGTTACAGGTATTTAAGGGGTTTGTACCTTGACAAATGATTTAGAAAGGTATGAATTCTACAAAGGCATTATATATAAATCATTAAATAAATAAGTGTTTCCTATATGCTTTCTATATCTGAATTTATCCATCTTAAAATAGTTGTTTTCTTTTTGATTATAATAATAATAATAATAATTAAAATAGTTGTTACGAGTTGTTTCCTGGTTATATATCCTCAGCACATTATTTATACAGTACACTATTCCATTTATTTATACCAGCTTTCAACTTTTATACAACAAAATACAAATTTGTAGTCATGGTTCCAGTTAATACTAACTGGGATTTATAAGAGCGTTTCCTACGATTGTGATAAAGGTTGTACTGGGGAGCCAATTATTTTGAATATCGACTGTATCAACATTGATACTCTGTGCATACCGACTCCTTCAAGAGCTGGGACTTTATAACGTAAAGAGCTCTTCAACTAAGGAATTAGAGCTCTACTTGGATTGAACTCGATTACTACTCGCCATGAATGAATGTAATAATAATTATCAGGTATACTACAAGCACCTCCACTTAAACCATACTGGCTGGTATGATGATGGTAGCTCTGCTATAGCCCACCATACGGCCAACAGCTATCATATTCCATTAGCTCAGTCAACCTGTGCTTTGGCATGGAACAAATTGATTAATGAGACTTGTGCAACATAGAGTAGATATATTTAGGTATGAGCTATGCGGCCACACTTCAGCTTTAATAGAGTTATGGGAACTTCTCGAGAAGGCAAGAAGCCATTTGAAGAGCACTAACTGGCACACATGAATTCGCTGTCAGAGGTGGGCCCCTCAAGGGAGGTTCCTTGACGCTGGTGACGGGCTCTTGATTTAGGGAATTGGATCTGTGGTCCAGTTTCCTGAATTAAGCCTGAATACCTTCCATCCCCCTTGACAGGCGCTGTATAATCCTACGGGTTTAGCGCTTCCCCATGATTATAATAATGTCAGAGGTGGAAGTGAAATACGCCCTGGATGGTTGCTCACTGCTTCACCGACTACCATGGCCACGTCATGCTACATTTGCCTCTACAAGATGTCTTAGATATATTGCTAAAATGTACAAATATCACATAATTATTTTTGACGGATATTGGAGCCGGTCCATCCATGAAGGATGTAACATCGTCGCGCAAGTGGTACTACTGGTGGTGTCCAAATGACCTTTGCCGGGGATAACCATCAAACTAATAATGAAATACTACTTTGGCAGTAATACAAATAGAGGTTTAATATCTTGCTGGGTGAGAAGCTGCAAAATAGTGGATACAAGAACGAAAAGGCACAACACCGTGACTAGAACAATACACATAACCTGCACGAAGGAGAGCGAACGTAGGAACGTGCGGGTTATTTGTGTAGTGGATGCAAGACTTCTTGTAGAAGGATATGCTCCTTTGTCAATAGTCCAAACGGTGGTAAAACTCAACCCTACCTCTTAAACTCATAAAAATTTGTATATTTTTTTCACATACGTTTTCACAAAATTTCTCGGTCAAGTTAGGTTTGATTGTCCTCCATGAAAAATAGCAAATCATAATATACCACAATGAAAAAAAAATAAAAGATAAAGGCGACAAATGGATACGCCTGACGAACAGACAACTTGTAGCCACCGAGCGAGGTGGAAAAACTGACATGATACACCTTAAGGTTCCTGAAACAGTCACCCATTTGACTGTCTTAAAAACAGTTAGATGCTGCCTTAAGAAGACGGACTGTAAAATCTGCTTCCACCTGTGACACAACCATCATCGGATAGCATTATTGTTTTAGCATTTGTCAGGATGCAGAGCAAGTGCCTCCTGACACGGGTCTCAAGTCATTTGGATGACATTAACGGAGAGGACACGGACATTCATATGTTCCTCACGTCAGACAGACAAATTTCCAACAAGATTCCAAAAATTTAGGACATTCATTGGCTGGTGAAGGGCTCTTAGTCCAAGCATTTGGAGCTACTCTCCCTTTCCTTGGAACAAACCTGATTATCTCTCATTCCCCCAGCACTGTGTAGTACCAAGCAGATATAAGGAACAACAATACTGGAGACCAATACCGACAACTGGTATTTTACTCTACGTTAAGTCATCATAACATGTCATCTTTTTTCTATATAATCCCTTCAACGGGAGGGGAACGAAGGGTTCGTGATCCAAGGATTTAGAGCTACATCCGTTAAATTAAACCTGATAACTTTTCAATCTCCAGGCACTGTATGACCTTTATGGGTTTAGCGCTTTCCCCTGACTAGTAATAATATACTCGTGTATAAACAGCTTTTAATATTTATATTTTATAAATTCTGTTAAAATGGATTGGTGGAGGCTTGATCCTCCGTCCTGTAATAACGGAGGCGCTAAACCCGTGAAGGTCATACACTGATACAAGGCTTTCTGGGTGGTGAACGATGGATGGATAAGTGTAGTGAGTGATGGATGGGTAGGAGTAGCGAGTGATGGATGGGTAGGTGTAACAAGTGATGGATGGGTAGGAGTAGCGAGTGATGGATGGGTAGGTGTAACAAGTGATGGATGGGTAGGTGTAGCGAGTGATGGATGGGTAGGTGTAACAAGTGATGGATGGGTAGGTGTAGTGAGTGATGGATGGGTAGGTGTAGCAAGTGATGGATGGGTAGGAGTAGCGAGTGATGGATGGGTAGGTGTAACAAGTGATGGATGGGTAGGTGTAGCGAGTGATGGATGGGTAGGTGTAACAAGTGATGGATGGGTAGGTGTAACAAGTGATGGATGGGTAGGTGTAGCGAGTGATGGATGGGTAGGTGTAACAAGTGATGGATGGGTAGGTGTAGTGAGTGATGGATGGGTAGGTGTAGTGAGTGATGGATGGGTAGGTGTAACAAGTGATGGATGGTAGGTGTAACAAGTGATGGATGGGTAGGTGTAGCGAGTGATGGATGGGTAGGTGTAAACAAGTGATGGATGGGTAGGTGTAACAAGTGATGGATGGGTAGGTGTAACAAGTGATGGATGGGTAGGTGTAACAAGTGATGGATGGGTAGGTGTAGCGAGTGATGGATGGGTAGGTGTAGTGAGTGATGGATGGGTAGGTGTAGTGAGTGATGGATGGGTAGGTGTAACAAGTGATGGATGGGTAGGTGTAACAAGTGATGGATGGGTAGGTGTAACAAGTGATGGATGGGTAGGTGTAGCAAGTGATGGATGGGTAGGTGTAGTGAGTGATGGATGGGTAGGTGTAACAAGTGATGGATGGGTAGGTGTAGCGAGTGATGGATGGGTAGGTGTAACAAGTGATGGATGGGTAGGTGTAACAAGTGATGGATGGGTAGGTGTAACAAGTGATGGATGGGTAGGTGTAGCGAGTGATGGATGGGTAGGTGTAACAAGTGATGGATGGGTAGGTGTAGTGAGTGATGGATGGGTAGGTGTAGTGAGTGATGGATGGGTAGGTGTAACAAGTGAGATGGGTAGGAGTAGCGAGTGATGGATGGGTAGGTGTAACAAGTGATGGATGGGTAGGTGTAACAAGTGATGGATGGGTAGGAGTAGCGAGTGATGGATGGTAGGTGTAACAAGTGATGGATGGGTAGGTGTAACAAGTGATGGATGGGTAGGTGTAGTGAGTGATGGATGGGTAGGTGTAACAAGTGATGGATGGGTAGGTGTAGTGAGTGATGGATGGGTAGGTGTAACAAGTGATGGATGGGTAGGTGTATGAGTGATGGATGGGTAGGTGTAACAAGTGATGGATGGGTAGGTGTAACAAGTGATGGATGGGTAGGTGTAGTGAGTGATGGATGGGTAGGTGTAACAAGTGATGGATGGGTAGGTGTAACAAGTGATGGATGGGTAGGTGTAGTGAGTGATGGATGGGTAGGTGTAGTGAGTGATGGATGGGTAGGTGTAACAAGTGATGGATGGGTAGGTGTAACAAGTGATGGATGGGTAGGTGTAGTGAGTGATGGATGGGTAGGTGTAACAAGTGATGGATGGGTAGGTGTAACAAGTGATGGATGGGTAGGTGTAACAAGTGATGGATGGGTAGGTGTAACAAGTGATGGATAGGTAGGTGTAACAAGTGATGGATGGGTAGGTGTAACAAGTGATGGATGGGTAGGTGTAACAAGTGATGGATGGGTAGGAGTAGCGAGTGATGGATGGGTAGGTGTAACAAGTGATGGATGGGTAGGTGTAGTGAGTGATGGATGGGTAGGTGTAACAAGTGATGGATGGGTAGGTGTAGTGAGTGATGGATGGTAGGTGTAACAAGTGATGGATGGGTAGGTGTAGTGAGTGATGGATGGGTAGGTGTAACAAGTGATGGATGGGTAGGTGTAACAAGTGATGGATGGGTAGGTGTAACAAGTGATGGATGGGTAGGTGTAGCGAGTGATGGATGGGTAGGTGTAACAAGTGATGGATGGGTAGGTGTAGTGAGTGATGGATGGGTAGGTGTAACAAGTGATGGATGGGTAGGTGTAACAAGTGATGGATGGGTAGGTGTAGTGAGTGATGGATGGGTAGGTGTAACAAGTGATGGATGGGTAGGTGTAACAAGTGATGGATGGGTAGGTGTAGTGAGTGATGGATGGGTAGGTGTAGCAAGTGATGGATGGGTAGGTGTAGTGAGTGATGGATGGGTAGGTGTAACAAGTGATGGATGGGTTAGGGTAGTGAGTGATGGATGGGTAGTTGTAACAAGTGATGGATGGGTAGGTGTAACAAGTGATGGATGGGTTAGGTGTTAACAAGTGATGGATGGGTAGGTGTAACAAGTGATGGATGGGTAGGTGTGTAGTGAGTGATGGATGGTAGGTGTAGCAAGTGATGGATGGTAGGTGTAGTGAGTGTGGATGGGTAGGTGTAACAAGTGATGGATGGGTAGGTGTAGTGAGTGATGGATGGGTAGGTGTAACAAGTGATGGATGGGTAGGTGTAGTGAGTGATGGATGGGTAGGTGTAACAAGTGATGGATGGGTAGGTGTAACAAGTGATGGATGGGTAGGTGTAACAAGTGATGGATGGGTAGGTGTAACAAGTGATGGATGGGTAGGTGTAACAAGTGATGGATGGGTAGGTGTAGTGAGTGATGGATGGGTAGGTGTAACAAGTGATGGATGGGTAGGTGTAACAAGTGATGGATGGGTAGGTGTAGTGAGTGATGAT